TATTGAACCGAAATGGCTTGTTAAGATCTCCCATATTGACATCCGCGGTTTTTTCAACTGTAGCCATCTTTGAATCTCCTTAAAATTGTTGGTGAATAAACTTACAAGAAAATAAAATTGCAAGATTACAATTGAAAATAAAATGAAGAAAGTAATATCTTCAGGCTGAGGCGCGGATATCTCTCTCTCTTTAAGGAGATTCAAGCCCACTGCAACAAATGTTTTCACCTGTCCAGCAGTAGTCCTCTTTGACTTGTCTCCTCCGGGATACAACAGCCTTCACAAAGTATAACTCAACAACTCTGGACAAGAGTTGAGTCCAAAGCTCCATAAAAAAGAACACCTCCCTTCAACTAATAAGAACTCTCTTTTAGGCTAACTCTTTCACTCTTTGTTTTCTCTTGTGTTTTGTGTGTCTCTAAAACCAAATGAAGACTACCACTATTTATACTACAGGAAGTCTTCCTAGCAATGAATAGTAAGATAATGGAGGAAGTAAAAAGTGAAGATAATGACCTTAGGAGTTTCATAGGTTACAATGGGAGTTACATAGGTTACAATGGGAGTTACATAGATTACATAAGTTACAACGGGAGTTACATAGGTTACAAAGAGTAATGGAGGAATTAAGAATGAAATACATTGATGGATAACCAATGCTAATGGATGATGTAGAAGTTATCCATTCCAATGTTTATTCTTATAACTCCAAAATAAAGCAATTTAATATGTTAAATATTAATATTAAAATGCTAATAACCTAACAATTAGTAATTTAATTAATTAATTTAAATGGTCAAATCGAAATCCTTACACTAGACAAGGAACTAACTAAGAAACATCCTAGTACCTAATCTAGGATGGTCCAAAAGGGTTAGTTATGGTCCCAATGACTTAGGGGTATTTTATTAATTACCCTACGTCCCTTGATTAATTAAATTAAATGATTAATTTAAGAAAAATTTCCAAGTAAGGCCGAAATTCTTTGAAAAAATTTCAGATATGACTTATTAAATATTTTCTTATTTCTAGTCCCTCGATTTCTCTTAGGAGATTTCAAGGTTTTCTTCAAGATTTCGTGCAAGGTGATCTTCGTAGATTTAATTCTACATAAGTTATGGGTTTTATCTCATTTAATTCTTTTTCCAAGAGACTTTTCAAACGTTTGAATTCATGAACTTCGAAACTAAGGTTGTACCCCAATGATATTGTTGAACGTTCATCTCCCTAGTTATCCTTGTTTTCGATTCTTTAAGTATATAGATGTATCTTGAACATGTTGTTGGTATGTGGTGCTAACTGATTTTATAAGTTCTTGAATTGTTAATGACTAACGAGGTCTATAGATTGGATTCAAATGATTTGAGTGTTAGTTACACGAATTAAGGAATGATATAATGCTTACTTGTGTTTCGAGAATATGAAGTTACTATGAATCGGCTATGGAATTTAGTTATTGTTAAAATGTTAAGTTTTCGACTGATTCATGTTGGGGAATCATTATATTACATTCATGATATTAATTGATTTTTTTAGTGATAACATAATGAATGTTGTTTAAGTGAAAGTTTGATTTATGCTAATAAAATGGCTAACAATGTCTTGCCCAAAAAGTTGAATGAAATTGGCTTGCAATATTGCTTTCAGAAAGAGTGGCTAATGTAAACCCAACTAAGCATGACTAATGTAACTTTGATTTCATAACCAAGGGTATGTCAATCATTGGGATAAGTCCCAACATACCCTTTCCAAATGAAATATGAACATAGTAACTACATTGAACAAAGATCTTAACGTTTATAAAGAATGATATAAAGCTATCAAAAGACATGAAACGAGTTAAGGTGAGTAATAACATAATTAAAAGTCTTTAAATTACGAAGGTGACCAGAATGAGTTGTTAAAGAAAGTGAGACAAGTCTCACGCCTGCCCCCTAACTACTTTAAAAAAGAAAAGAAGGACATATAAAAAATGTATTTATGCAAATAAGGAAATACTTATAGCCGGTGAATAAGGGTGTTCGTGGTTCAGTTTGGATCGGTTATTGGTTAAAATTAAAATGAAATCAATCTAGTCGGTTTTTAAAATTTCTAAAATCAAACCAAATATGCCCTTTAACTGGCTTCGAATCATATTTGTGTCTTTCAAGTTTGGGTGTGCACAAGTAGACAATTAAACTTGTATAAAGTTGAAAAAAAAGACACACATATCTCGTACATGTCATTTTTTGTCTTACACGGTGTTTTACGCGTATTTTGTCATGTAGGACTCATGTGTTTATTTATTTAAAAGTTGAATAGTTAAATTGTCTGTTTGTGCATTATGAAAGGTAGAGGACAAAGTTAAAATTTGAAGCCAAGTTTATGATCTAATATATGTATTATGCTAATAACTTTTGAAGACATATGTATCTTGATAGACACAAGTACCTAGTATATGAATAATTCAATGCAAAGTTATTGTTGGTTCAATTAAGCAATTAAACAATACTAAAGTTATTAATACACGAATAAAGTGTTTCAATTAAGAGAAGGTGTAACTATCTTTAAAGAAATGTGATTTGCCGGAATAATCATGACTTTTCACATGGTATACAAAATATACTTCTTCGTGGTACTCTTTGTTGACTATAAACTACTCTTCTTTTTCTTGCATTTTAATTTTTTTTTGTTAAATATAGACAATCAAATAACTATCTTTGATTTTGTGTACATAAGCAATTGAAAAGTCAAATATGAGAGCCAACAACAAAAATATCATGTACTATTTTATAACTTATAAAATAAAAATTAATTTGTACCAAAAATAGTTTTAAAAAATAATACATAGCTACTATCTTAACATGTTCATATGACATTTAAACAATCTGACATGAAAAAAAACGTATAAGACACATTTTGTTAGATGACAAGAAAAATGCACAACAAATATCGTCTATAAGGTACTATTATTGAAATACGACTAATTACAAGATTGAGCCTAAACATAAACATTATTGTATTTAACTAATAAAAAATTTCATAAGTTCGCATAAATAAGATATATATATATATATATATATTGAATACGTGTTGTACAAGTTTGACCCAAAAACTCTTTCACAAGTGTTGACCAACTCGATCATTTGAATATACTTAAATAGAACTATAAATCATATTTCCTCCGATCTATTTTATGTGATATTTTTTGAATTTTAAAATTTAAATAAATTTATTTTTATTCATAAATTTTTTGTAAATTTTTTAAATATTTTAAATTATCAATATTATAAATTATAGTATTTTATTTACGTAGTTTATAAATATATAAATTTAATTTTAGAAAATAAAAATTGTATGAGTAAATTTTCGATCAAACTTAAATTGTTCTCTAAAAATAAAAAATAAAACATAAATTAAAACAAAGAGAGTGAATAATTAAAAATCCCGCTAGAAATAGCAAAAGTTAAAGCTAAGAGTTGTAAGAAATGAGTAATAAAGAAAAATCCCTATTGGATCTTCCATCTCCAATCTTATTACAAATTCTCTCAACATTACCTCCTACCACACTCTTATACGTCAAAATCGTCTCCAAAACTCTTCTAAACCTAATCTTAGATTCCGAATTTTTAAAATTGTCACGTTCAGTATCTCCAGCTACCATTATCATCCACCAATTTAACTCTAATAGGACCAACACGTTAAAGATTTTGAAATTCGCAGTCGATTATAACTTTGATCATGATTCAAATGTTCACCTTGATCTGCAACTTTACTTTCCTGTTGATCTAGTTTTCCTAGTTGGATCTGTTCATGGATTTGTCTGTTTTAATTACTTTTTCGGTAATGTTGATGGTATTTACATCCTCAATCCAACAACAAGAGAATATATCATCCTTCCTGAACCACAACGGGTAAGAAAGTGGCCTAATTTAGTTACTTATGGCTTTGGTTTCGATCCTGTTAGGTTCGAGTACAAAGTGGTCAGAATTTACCAAGAGGAGATTCGCGATAGTGATACTAATGGTTTTCGTTATTATAAGTCTGAAGCACAATTTTACACAATTGGGAAATGGTATTGGAGAAGTAGTGTAGAACATGTCATGTTCTGTTTTGGATGCAGGGCATATGGGGTGAATCTATATGGAAGGATTCATTGGTTGGTTTCTGATGCTAATGGAAATGAGTTAATATGTTCGTTTAATTTGGAGAATGACTTGTTTGAATCATTCCCAACTGCTCCAGGTTACACATGACTTGTTTATGTGTGTGTGATAATAATGCGGATACTCATTTTGGGAGTTTTTGGACGTTGTTTATGGGTGAT